ATGGCAGAATCAGGAAGCTGAGAGGTCATATCACTTTTTCAACTCCAAGCCTGGTGCAGACAGTGAACTGGAAGTGGGTTGAGGCTACAAACTCTCAAAGCCCACCCCCAGTGGCATACTTCCTCCTAAACATCCTCAAACTGTACCACAACTGGGGACCAAGTGTTCAGATATGTGAGCCTATGGGGGACAGTTCTCATTTAAACCACCACATATTTTTGATTAATTCATAAATTTAGTTTTCCTAACTGAACATTTAAAAATTTAGTACACCCCAGACTTTAGAATACTCCAAATGACTGACAGGGAGGGTTTACAAGGACTAATAAGCACTTTCTAAGTGCTGTAATCATTTGACTAAATCTCCCTAAGCACTTGAGTTTACTAGCCCTGAAAATCTAATAATAGTTCTAAGTTTTTAATGTAGTAAGTCAAGTCACCTTATACATTTGAGTGAAATTTTCAATAAAATTATACTATACTTCTTCAAATTTAAATCATAAGTGTAATATGAAGCAAGCACTTAAATTCAAGATGTAGACTTGTCAGATTGTTTATTGTCTATGATAGTTTTAAAGTTAAATGTTTCAGGAGAAACATGTAAGTTATCCCAGAATCACTTATCTTATTCACACTTCTAACAACAAGGAAAAGGCATAAGTGCTATATCAGTTTCTAGGGCGGCTGTAACAAAGTCCCCCAACTGTTTGGACAAATAGGACTTTAGGGCTCATAGTACAGAGAGCTGTTAGGTTTGTGATCGGGACATGGGCAGGTATGGATGCTTTTGAGGGATATGGGAGAAAATCTTTTCCGTGCATCTCCGGCAGTTTCTCTCACAATTCAGTATTGTGGGTGGCAGGGAATCCCCTCATTCCTGCCTTCAGTGGTCATCCAGTATTCTCTTTTTCTGTCACTTCACATGGTGTTCTAACAGGGCACAGTCACACAAGAATAGGGACTGATCATACAGTGTGACCTCAAAATGAAAGCAAACTGAGCTAGGGATATAGTTCAGTGGTTCAGCTTTTGTGTAGGACAGAGCTGGGGCCTGGATTTAGTACCACTAGAGAAAAAGACTAAAATCACAACTGACAACATCAAGCATTGGTAAGTATGTGGAGCAACAGGGAGCAACAGGACTGCCATCTATTGCTGGTGAGAGTGAAGAGTGGCACAGCTGCTTCGGAGAGAGTTTGGCTGTTTCTTATGAACTAAGCACTCCTTTACTGTACATATAATGTATTGTACTTGCTGTGTACCCAAAACCTGTGCATGGGCATTTGCTGCAGCTGTGCCTGACAATCACAAAAATGTAGAAGCAGGAGCCGGAGAGATGGCTCAGCAGTTAAGAGCACTGACTGCTCTTGCAGAGGACCCAGGTTCAATTCCCAGCACCCTCATGGCAGCTACAATCATCCTTAACTCTAGTTCCAGGGGAATCTGACACTCTCTTCTGACCTCCGTGGGCATTGCATGACACAGGTGTACTTGCACACATACAGACAATACACTCATACATGTAAAATAAAAATAATAAATAAAATGTATTTAGAAGAAATCAAGATACCCTCAGTGGCTGAATAAATAACTAAACCATTCAAGATCCAGATAACAGGATATTATTCAGTGCTCAGAAACAAGCTTCAGTGCAATGAAAAGGTCTGAAAGAACCTTAAATTTCTACTACTGAGTGAAATGGGCACTCGGCTGCTTCCAACTATATGGCATTCTTGGAACAGGAAAACAGTGGCCACAATAAAACCATTTACCAGAAATAAGGAGAGAGGGAGTGATGAAAGGCAGAGTGGAGAGGACTTTCGAGGCATATAGACTATTCTGTACAGCACTGCAGTCGGTGGTAGATGCTTGTCACTATATGTCTATCAAAACTCATGGGCTGCACAGCACCAAAAATTAACCCTAGTATAAAATATGGACTTTGGGTAAGTTGATGTAACTTAATGATTATAATAAAGGCACCATTGGTCCAGGATGCTGACAGTGGGGGGCATTGTGCTTGTGTGGGGAAGGGTGTATAGGAATGCTGTAATTTCCACTCAGCTTTGCTATTACTCTGAAGTACTCCAAAATGTAAAATTTATTAATCAAAAATAATAAAATTCTAAATATATATAAATTATTCATATATAGTCACTATAGAAAATTACTATACCAGTAGGTTCCAGGAGATCTTTGAATGTGGAGAATGCTCTAGTTATTGATAATTAGAGTGTCTCACATAGACATGATGGATAGATGGGTGGATGGATGGTTGGATGGATGGATGGATGGGTTAATAAGTGGTTGGGTGGGTGGATAGTTGAATTAGAGATATAGTGCAACAGGAGTTGAAGAACAAAGATTCTTTCTAACCAAACCACTTTGCCTTGGGCAGATTGCCCCAGCATAGAAAGAAGAAATGATCATGCCAGCCTGCTACCTGCACACCAGGACAGCACAGTGCTCTGGCACTAAGCAGTGTAGAATGTCAGAAGCAGCAGTAGAGTAGGTTGGAGCCTGGTACATCTTAACAATGAAAGTCTGGCTCTTGGACAAGCCAGACCTGAAGACACATGCTAAAACCGTAGCTGCTCAACCCTAGAGTATTAAAAAATAAATAAATAAATTTAAAAAAAAAGGAGAGACTAACATCGGAGCTGGTCTAAGTACAGAAAATTATGAAGGTTTGCCAGACTCCAGAGAGTACATTTTCCTCCAAACTGCTCCCTGTCCTCAGTAGAAAGAGACTATTCCATGAGCTGGGAGCCGTGATTCAAATCCACAGAACATTGTTTAGATTGCCATAAGTTCTGTTCATTTTATGTGTGAAAATAAACAGTTCTGCTTATTATCAAACACAAAATTGCTTTGGGGTCTTTGGTGATTATCAGTCTTAGCAATAGGGAGATGGGTGGGTAGATAATTGGGTAGATAGATGAGTCTTTGTATGGTGAATAATTCAACTCCCTCCTCAGTCACAACTGCACTTGGGTCTGAGGTCAGGATCCTTCAAGGCCTGTCAATGTCTCTGCAAGCCACACTGAGCTCAGGTCACGGGTTTACTGTCTTCAGCCTCCAGCTCCAACCCAAATGAGTGTTGTAATTACAACATGTCATTCAGGGACACATGGTCTAGAATGATTATGCAGTCACACACTCAAAAAGTTGAATGAGAATTGAATGCCCATTGATTCAGTATACTATTCTGTATGAAACTCTTAGTCTTGCCTGAATACAACTTTAGAACCTTATGCACCTGGCCTTTCTGTTTCATGATTGACACAAACACAAAGTTTTAGAAGAACATAGTTTTCAACAACCTAAGGGATTATTCCTGATATAGATTACCCATAAGGCCTGAAGTTTTCTCAGGAAAAAATACAACAGAATGTCAGGTGCTGTACTAATTTCTTCACCTGAAAGTCGTGGAAGTTCACACTGTTCACTTCTTTGCAAGGGATGGTAACTCCTTACCAGTGAGTTATTAGGAAAGTGACCCCCATCCAGTCGCTCAGACTACTGTTTACTTCTGGATAAAGCCAAGTCCACTTGCTTCTTTCCATCATCACCATCCTGTCTCATCCGAACCTCAGCAGTGTGTGACTGTCCAGCTTGCTTCTATCCGGTCAAGTCTACACAGAATTTGGATTCATCAATCAAAATAAAGCAGATAATGTCACATCCTGGCTTTCTATACCCAGAGGACCTCAAGACCTCAGCTGCACTCAACACTGGGGCTCCTTAGCCTGCCATCTTCCCCCTCCCTTACCCTCCTCCGGCTCTGCCCTGGGTTTCCTTTTTCCTGCCAGGCAGGTTTTTGCTCTTGCTATTCTCTCCTGGAGCTCCAGTTCCTTCCCCTCACTCACACCTCATCATCAGTGCCTTCCCTGACGTCATGAACTGAGAAAGGCCCATGCCCTTTCCAGTCTCTCTTTACTGCACCCCCGCCCCCATTTCATTTTCTTTATATCCTTCTTCCATGATTCTGAAAGTGTCATATTTATCTGTTTGCTTATTTTCTTACTGTCTGTCTCCGTGCAGCTGGAATAACCTAAGAAAACAAAGTTCTTTGGTTTGCCTGCTGCTGAATCCCCTGTGACTAGAACACTGCTTGGCATAAAATATAGGCAACTGGATGAGTGACTGGTACTATATATACATATATATATATATTCACCAGACATATATATTTATTAAAATACTTATATATGCATTAAATATCAATGCCATACATTAATAAAAACCCTTGAAGATTTTTCATTTCTAGCATTTATCATGAACTAGAATGTTGGACAGGATGAAATAATTATTTTGCTCAAGTGTGGGATCTGGTCTAAAATAAGTAGAGAAATTTGTATTTTTATCTTGTTCCTGCCTTACTTCACCACTAATATAACTGGAGGGTGCTGTGGCTTGTCATAGACTCCTTGACAAAATGCGCCCGGGGTCTTCAAGGAGAATCATGTGCCTGTGTGTGTTTCCGTACATTCCTTTCTTGGGAACTTCAGGTAAACCACAACACAGCTCTCAGCTATAAGCCATAGTCCAGGGTCTTGATGCCTAGACTTAAGCTGTGAGCTTCCTCTGATTTGGGTGCTGGGTTCCTCTTGACTCTCTCTCATTCACACACACAGCTTCACTTTTAAGATGGCCTCAGTTTGTACATATACAAACTACACAAATTTACCTATAGCTAATGAATGTTTCTACTTTCATGAGGAGAGCGCCTCGTTACTATTTTGATTTCTATCAGGATTCATAAAAAATTTTAAGCACCTGCAAAAGAATAGGCATTGCACTTATTTCTAAAGTTAAAGTAATGGGTGAGGCTGAGCCGACATGAGTCGTCACCGGCTTGGAGCTCTGACATCATGGAATGAAAGGTAACCTTGTCAAGGTGCAACCCAAGGCCTTTTCTCCAGCTATCCCCAGGTGTAATTTCTATCTTGCCATAATCCAGAGGACACGGATGCTAACATTTCTATGGTATGTTTCAGCAACTTGGAAGTGTATACAGCGTACTCGCCGCAATCTTGAATGTTGGAAACATTGAATTCTCTTCTGTGGCAACTGAATTCCAGATGGACAAGAGCTACGTCTACAATCACACAGCTCTGGAGAACTGTGAGTGTTGTTACCTTCCATTCAAAACTGAACTCTTTCAAATCTTACGCAGGGTCACGTGAGGGTAGATTCAAGCAGTTTTATTCATTGAATCCACAAGTAATACTCAGATTCATTTTGTAAAATTAAGTTCTAAAAGTCTACTATCTTTAAAAAACTCATGTATCTGAATTGATTACTGTAGAAAATATTTCTGAAGACTAAGCTTTTATGACTATGTTTGGAGATATGTTTTAATATGAAAATACAGAAAATGTTGATAAAATATATTTAACTGATATAAAAAAGAATTCAAATTATCCTCTAGTATTTAGGGCCTGTGTCAATTAAAAAGTCATAAAGTCTGTATTTGTTTTTACTGCTTGAATTGTGTCTACTCATTTATCCTGAGTTAATTAATTTTTCATTTATTTTAAACACAAGATACATACACCATGATACTTCCTTCAAATCAAGTTTTCTCTTAATAGAAGACTTTGGCAAACCATTTCCAATAATCTAAGGTGCCCCAACGATTTTTCTCCAGTAGCAAAGCTTTTCCCTATTAAGAATATATCCTGTATTTTCTTTTTGATACTGGCATACATCCTCATAACTCTATACTTGTTATGAATTTCACCCATAGCCTAGAGAATCATGATTCAAATATCCATGCATACATTCTTCTTCCATCGTACACACTCTAGAAAAGAATGGTTTGGTGATACATCAGAGCAGGTGTCTGAGGTTGGCACAGTGATTGCATGTATCTGGAAATCTTGAGAATACCTGTTTTGATTCTCCAGGTACAAAGTAATTTAAATGGTGTGCAAGATATTAGGTTATCAGAAATAAAAAAATAACTATATAACTTCATTGATAACAATGTCAACCCATAATTATAATTGAAGTGCTATCTTTGGTCAACAGAATGAGATATAGTATTCTTACGTTGTTATGTTAGTCTATTTTGCACTAATGAGCAAATACCTGTGATCAGTCACCTTAAGAGAAGGAAAGGTATATGTGGGCTCATGGTTTCAGAGTTTTGAGTCTAGGTCACTTGGCCCATTGCTTTTTGGCCTGTGTGGGGTAAGACATTGTGTTGGAGGCACTTGATGAAGCAAAGGTATTCACCTCATAGTGGTGAGGAAACAGAAAGATGATGAAACCAGGATCCCAATATCCCTATCAGAAGCATAACCCCTATGACCTAACTTCTTTCCACAAGGCTCCACCTCATAAAGGTTACAGAACCTTCCAGTATCACCACCAGCTGGTGACCAAGCCTTTAGCACATGGGCCTTTGGGAGACATTAAAGATCCAAAAGATAATAGATTTACTTAAGAATACACTTAGGCGGTAGACATGATGTTGCATGCATTTAATCCCAGCACTTGGGAGGCAGAGGCAGGTAGATCTCTACAAGTTGGAGACCAGCTTGGTCTACGTAGTGAATTCCAGGTCAGCTAGGCCTATGTAGTTTTTTATTTCTTTTCTGCCTCAAGAAAAAGAAAGACAATACATAGAAACAACCAAAAAATTATTTTGATCATTGTATATAGCAGAAGAATGGTACAGTTGACAAAAGATTAATATTAATACAAATATAATTAAAATTAATTAAACCACTTTCCAGAATAGCCACTTGTGGAAAAAATAAATTTATTGATTTGCACTGAATTGATTTATAATTTCATTCAGAATGAATTATCTCCAAATCAAGGCCACGCAGTCAAGTGGCTTCACAAGAGCATTGTTTCATTTGGGCACTAATTCCATCCACCTACCCTCTGTCTTTCAAATTCAACAATTTCTCTTTGTTACTTTCATCGTCACTATTCCTGTCCATGACACAATTACCTCTTGCTTGAAGTGAGCAACCTCCCTTCCCGTTGTTTACTCCACATCTAGAATTGATCTTTTCTAGGTTCATTTAGAAACCACTTAACCAATATCTCTGTGGGTTCCCAGTCTCTCTCTTATCCTCCATCATTTCCTTGTCTTCTTCTCTCCTCTCTCCTTCTCCTCTCCTCCTCTTTTCTTCTTCTTCCTCTTCCTCTTCCTTCCCTCCTCTTCTTCCTCCTTCTTCTTCTTTCTCCTCCTTCCTCTCTCTTTCGCTCACTCCTTCTCTCTTTCTCTCTCTCACCTCTATTCCATTCCTTCCTCCCTTTCTCTCTCTTCCCACTTAAATTTCTTGATTAGTTTCCCATTCCTCTTGATAAAGAGGACTATTAAGACTGAAACTTTGCTTCCAAAGAATTGTACTTAGTAATATGTCCCCAGATAAAATACCTGATGTGTAGTAGGCAATAAATATATGTCAGATGAATGGAAAACACTGGAATGCAAACAGACATACGGATCATGGAGGGATGGTATTTAGCCACATATCCAAGTAAAATGACCATTCGTGTGATTTCGTATTGTAGAGACAAAAGAGAGATGGGGAGCTTGAATCCTCCTCAAACAACATATACCAACATCAATTTAAGTTTGCTATTGTAATTATTTATTTATGTGTGAATCTGTGTGGGCATAATTGTGGTTAGGGGACAATTTGCAGGGATAGGTTCTCTCTTTCCACCAGGTGGGTCCCAGGAATAAAACTCAGCTCATCAGGCACCTTTACCATCTGATCTTCACCTCCCCAAAACTCTAAATACATATAAATTTCAGTGCAAAAAAAAAATCATAAAAGTACCCGATGATACACCCTTATATAATCCTGGGGTGAGCAGGAACATAAAGGAGTTCATATTCACAGCACAAAAAACAGAAATGATTTTCTTTAGAGGTAGGTATTTAACCATAAAATCTTTAAACTCTTTCATAGCAAATAAAGAAATATAAGTGAAATTTTATGCAAATGGAAAAGAAAGAAAATATTTGCAACATATATATCAAAACACTTCTCTCTCAGCTTAAAGAGCTCTTGAAAGTTGATTAGGACGAGATGATCTGATCACTGGAAGAAGCAGTCCGTAAAACGAGAACCACGATTACAAGCAAAAGTTTGGAAGAAAACAGTGTTCAACTTTGCAAGGAATAATTAAAACAAATAAAATTTTTTCTATTCAACTTGCTATTTTAAAAACTGAAATGCCTAGTATCCATGAAATTGTAATGAACTTCTTGGTCTTTCATTAGGCTGATAGGGATAGAACTGATTAAGCTTTTGAAGAATAATTAAATAGCTGTATCAAGAGCTGGGTGGTATTAAGGGAGGTATAGACAAAGGATCATACTTAAATATGATCAAAATATATCATATAAAAATTTCAGAAATTCAATAAAATTTCAAAGCTTAAATGTGTTTATATAGTTTGATGCTATTGCAGAGTTTAGACTACCTTTCATGTCCAGAATGTGCATGCTAGTATTTTTTGCAATTATGAACATAGAGAAACAATTTAAGCATTTCACAGTTTTTAAAATACTAATACATTAATATGTGTCAGAATTGTTCTGCAAATTAAACTATTTACTTACAATTCTGAAAATGGGAAATGCTTAAGGTGTTACATTGGGACGCAATGTCTATGCCAAATAGTGGCAATAACCATGCCTAGAAGGAAAGAAACCAATGTTAACGTGGAAGTTAAAATTTCTGCAGTGAATGAATATTCCAAAATGTCAGAAAGGTAGTTTAGAGGTCTATATTCTTAGTCATACAACCAAAAACTAAGTTGTTAATTTGCTAAGAATAAACTTAAAATGTTGAAAATATTTTAAAAACAGAACTGATTTGAAGATTTGGCCCATCTTCACACAGCAGGTTTAGCTAAAGATGCTTAATGCAGGGATGAGGTTGTAGCTCAGTGGTCAAACACTTGCTCAGCAAGCTCAAGCTTCTAGGGTCAATCCTCAGTATCATGAAAAAGATGCATATTATATTAAAAGACAAATTTTATTACTGAATTCAAGTGTCATGTAATGTTAAATGAATGTTTATTTGTGTATAAAATTCTAACAAAATTAAATTTGAACTGTGAAACAAGAAGAGTTGGACAAGTAGCACATGAGTGTCCCTTCTGCTCTGCTGGTTATGTATTGCAGAAAGTAGCTAAGAGCCACTTTTTTGAGTGTACATCCCAAGTCTAAGTAACTTTGAGTCCATTCTTACGTTTTGAAAATAATTGCATAATAATCATATCAAAATTATATCAAATCTATTCATTGTGTTTTTAAAATATTTAGTATAAGTTGGTAATTTTTTTGTTATTACATTGATTTGAGAATTTCATACAAATTACTGGCAATTGGTAAAATAATGTTTTTGAATATTTAGTTTTTTCTTTTAATTAAATGAATGTTTTAGCATTGGAATCTTGTTTATTGATATGTTTTTAATATATTTTTGAGCTTTTGTGTATGTCATATAATAGAACTTAATAAAATTTAGACCCCCCCCTCCCCCATCAGTGCCCCCATAGCCCTCCTTCACCAGATTTCATGCATTTTGTTATATATGTTAAGTCCTATCTGGTCAAGCATTTCTTCCGAAATGTTCTTCAGTGCAAGTTCATCCACCGGAGTCTAGTCAGCCTGTACCAATACATCCCTCAACTCTCACCAGAGAAGCTTTCTCATACAACAGAGTGTGGTGCACACAAAAGGCCACAACTGGCTAGGTTTTAGAGAATAAGAGGCTGTTGAGTGTGTGTCCCTGGATAGGACTTTTATTAGACCTCATTCACCCAGAGCTCAGAGACCATTGGAAGAGGAGACTGAAAGATTGTGAGAGCCAGGGTTGGTCCAGGAACATAAAGAAACAGAGGCTTTCAGGCCCTGGGAACTTGCTCATATGAACTTGCAACAATATTACAGCATGTACAAGACAAAAACCCAGCAAAGAATGAGGGAAATGGACAGCAGACCCTAACCTTAGCCTAGAAACTATTGGCAACTGATTACTGCTGCATAAAATTATTTTTTAATTATTTATTTAATAACCACATACTTAGAAGAAGCATTTCATTACAACAGTATTGGCATATTCAATAACAATTTCCAGAGCTAAGATGCATCTCTTTCAAAATTGGCTGTAAATTT